CGACATACAGACAACGACCTTTTTGCACACATTCCAGGCATGCGCACGTCTGGTCAGACCCGGAAAAGGATGTAACCTGGATGGGGTGGGTTTGCACTACACTGTCGCATGCAATGACCCAAAATGCAACCCCAGCGCAAATTGGGGGTTGCCTATATTGCAAAACCAGTTTGTACTCCCCATCGTTACAAACCACACGATAGGTTGCATCCAATGCCAGTCCTACTCAGAATAGACCCAATGGCATTAAGAAATACGCCCACTCTATGCTCATCAATTTCTCTTTACTTACTCTGTGTGGGATTGAGTTGAACCATTGTTTGAGAGCAGCAGGCAAACCACTGTTTTGAGCCACTCTGTTATTTAGTTTTGATGGTGTGTTATCTGCACCTGGCTCTAGTTGGTCAATCCTGAGGTTACAGTAAAGAAAAGCAACATAGATCTGACACATCTGAAATCTGCCCACCCTACGGAAGACTAGTCTGAGCTAGATACAGTGGTACCTCGGGTTAAGTACTTAATTCGTTCCGGAGGTCCGTACTTAACCTGAAACTGTTCTTAACCTGAAGCACCACTTTAGCTAATGGGGCCTCCTGCTGCTGCCGCGCCGCCGGAGCACGATTTCTGTTCTCAACCTGAAGCAAAGTTTTTAACCTGAAGCACTATTTCTGGGTTAGCGGAGTATGTAACCTGAAGCGTATGTAACCTGAGGTACCACTGTACATCGATGGTTGAGACAGTAAGAGGCAGCTTTCTATGAATGGATTTTTCCATTGCTACAAACCCGCGCTTTGTCCCTTGGCATACCTTAGCCTCTGAACTTTTCGTCTTCTCCCATGCTTTGCAGTTCTCATAATCTCTCTTCCACTGCTTACAGGAAGGCGCCTCCCCATAGGTATAGTAGTAATGGAACAGATTTGGGATGCTCTTGCAATGTTTCCATTCAGACCAGTAGTCATTGCAGGCTCGTGGGGGCTGCCAAACATACACACAAAATGTATAAGCAAGGAATCAACACTCGTCTACAGGGCAGAGAGGACCATAGAAACTGCAACAAAGTGCTCTTCTGTTCCAGGTGCCTTCCCAGACCTGCTGAAAGAGGCAGTTATTAAACCGCTTCTTTAAAAAAACAACTTTGGACCTAACCATCATGGCCAACTACCACCCAGTCTCAAATCTTCCATTCTTGGGCAAGGTGATTGAGCACGTGGTTGTTAAACAACTCCAGACACGCCTGGAGGATGCGGCCCATTTGGATCCCTTCCAATCGGGATTCAGGACTCATCATGGGACTGAAACTGCCTTGATCACGATGGTTGATTATCTCTGGCAGGCCAGAGACTGAGGTGAAAGCTGTTCCCTGGTCCTGCTGGATCTCTCAGCGGCCTTTGACACCATTGATCATGACATCCTTATGGACTGTCTGAAGGAGTTGGGAGCTGGGGGCACTGTTATACAGTGGTCCCGCTCCTTCCTCCTGTGCCATGTCCAGAAAGTGGTGTTGGGGGGGTGAGTGTTTGGACCCCTGGGCTCTCACTTGTGGGGTGCCTCAGGCTTCTGTCCTCTTCCCCATGCTTTTTAACATCTACATGAAGCTGCTGGAAGAGATAACCAGGGGGTTTGGGCTGGGTGTTCATCAGTATGCAGTTGATACCCAGCTCTACCTCTCCTTCAAATCAGAACCAGTGGAGGCAGTGAAGGTCCTGTGTGAGTGTCTGAGGTGGTTGGTGGGGGGGTGGTGGTGGCAGCTAACAGATTGATGTTGAATCCTGACAAGACAAGAAGTACTGTTCTTGGGGACAGGGGACAGACCCCTGGTCCTGAACGGGGTAATCATGCCCCTGAAAGATCAGGTGCGCACCCTGGGAGTCACTGGACTCACAGCTGTCCATGGAGGCACAGGTCAATTCTGTGTCCACAGCAGCTGTCTACCAGCTCCATCTGATATGCAGGCTGAGACCCTACCTGCCCGCAGACTGCCTCGCCAGTGTGGTGCATGCTCTGGTTATCTCCCACTTGGACTACTGCAATGCGCTCTACACGGGGCTATCTTTGAAGGTGACCCGGAAACAACAACTAATCCAGAATGTAACAGCTACACTGGTGACTGGGTGTGGCCACCGAGACCATATAACACAGGTCCTAAAGGATCTTCATTGACTCCCAATACATTTCTGAGCACAGTTCAAAGTGTTGGTGCTGACCTTTAAAGCCCTAAACGGCCTTGGCCCAGTATACCTCAAGGAGCGTCTCCACCCCCATCGTTCAGCCGAGACACTAAGGTCCTCTGCCAAGGGTCTTCTGGCGGTTCCCTTACTGCAAGAAGTGAGGTTACAGGGAGCCAGGCAGAGGGCCTTCTCAGTAGTGGCGCCTGCCCTGTGGAACACCCTCCCTTCCGATGTCAAGGAAATAAACAACGATCTGACTTTTAGAAGACATCTGAAGGCATGCCCTGTTTAGGGAAGTTTTTAAGGATTGCTGTTTTTATTATGTTTTCAAATACAGTGGTAACTCGGGTTAAGAACTTAATTTGTTCTGGAGGTCCATTCTTGACCTGAAACTGTTCTTAACCTGAGGTACCGCTTTAGCTAATGGGGCCTTGCGCTGCTGCCATGCGATTTCTGTTCTCATCCTGAAGCAAAGTTCTTAACCCGAGGTACTATTTCTGGGTTAGCGGAGTCTGAAACCTGAAGCGTCTGTAACCTGAGGTACCACTGTATGTCGTAAGCCATCCAGAGTGGCTGGGGAAATCCAGCCAGATGGGTGGGGAATAATAATATTAATAATAATAATAATAATAATAGGAATTGTAGTCCAAAAGCAGCTGGAGAAACACTGCTCTAACTCAGCTCTTTTCAGCCCCAGTTGTTGTTGTTGTTGAACTACAACTCCCATCCCCCCAGCTAGCAAGGGATGATGGGAGTTGTTCAGGTGTTCTGGGACTACAACTCCCATCATCCCTTGCTAGCTGGGGGGATGGGAATTGTAGTCCCAGAACACCTGGATGCCGCTATAAGGGACCTATTCGACTCATATACCTGCATTAGGCACAAGGAATTCTGCAGCCTGCACACCTTCTGCCACAACAGACCAGTCTTTTGAGGGGCCTTTATAAAAGGCTTACACACAACTGCCTCTCTTGAAGGCTTTTTAAAGCGGCTTTCCTATTCTGAGCCCTACATTATCCCCCCCCCCCCCGCTTACCCTCCAGGTATCGCTGTCAGCCATGCTGCTCCCTGCTCCGTCCATCCCTCCCTCCCTCTCCGTAAAGAGGCGGGGCTTTGTGACGGATTGACCCGGCCGCGCCACCGTCCGCGAGCCCAGACGCAGTCGAAGTCAAAGAGGTAAAGCTCCAGCGGTTCGCTTAGAGACGACTTCCGGCTCCCGTTTGCGGCAGTTTGGCTGAGGCTCCGCCATTGAAGGGGGTTAAGAGTGGCGGGGAAAGGCTGATTAGGGGGTAATTGGGGAAGGGGGGGAACACTTTCCCTACCCACCCAGTGCTTTTGAAATAATTGTCGCCTGTGCAAAAGAGAGAAGAACAAAACGACTTTTTTATTTAAAAAAAAAGGCTTGACTCCTGTTCCTTATTTAGTAATTATTCAGCAATATCAACTCAGTATGGAGAGCTCAGTTGGTTAGAGTGGCTCCTCTTGGTCGTTGCCTAGAAAAATGCAGTGAAATATTATCCTAACAGTCTACTAAGAAGTAAATATTGAGTTGAATGGAGCTTTCTCCCAGGTGGCTGAGGAAGGATGCAGCTAGGAGTCTTTTTTTTGGCTTCACTGGTTTCCCACTGTACTACCAAATTTTACAGTGTGTCACTAAGGCCCCACATGGCAACTTAGGCATAGTGGTGTAATTGCCTAAGCACTTAATTTAACTCAGGGGTAATTTAAGGCCAGGGGGCCGGATGTGGCCCAATCGCCTTCTCAATCCGGCCCGCCGGATGGTCCTGGAATCAGCGTGTTTTTACATGAGTAAAATATATCCTTTTATTTAATAATAATAAAAATAAATTTTTATTTCTATCCCGCCCTCCCCAGCCGAAGCCGGGCTCAGAGCGGCTAACATTTAAAATGCACCTCTAGGTTATTTGTGGGGCATAGGAAGTCGTTCATATTTTTTTTTTCAAAATATAGTCCGGCCCACCACATGGTCTGAGGGACGGTGGACCGGCCCACGGCTGAAAAAGGTTGCTGACCCAATTTAACTACACAATGTGAAAGCACAACAGTACGGTGTGGCCATTTCTTCAGCCATCAGAAGGCAGAGATTTTGCTTTGCTCATTTATGCTGAAACATTCATGGAGGATGGGACGATCAATGGCTACTGTCAGGGAACTGACATCGGAGCAGAGTGGAGAGGCAAGGCTCCCAGATTCTGCCGGAGAGGGAACAAGTAAGGGAAGAGCGAGAACGTCCTCTGGGGAAAGAAATTCAGGTGACACCAGGAAGAAGGGAGAGGTAGAGAGAACTTCGGAGGGGAGGCTCCGAGACTCTTCCAGTGAAGTCAGTGAGCAGAGTGGAGGACCACCGCTTGGCATGCCCACGCTGCGCAGAAGGCTTCCGCGCAGGGAGGCGCGCAGGAGGTTGTCCGTTAAGGAACTTTTATGTTGGAGGAAGTTTAGGCGACGCCCACTGACGGATTCTAGCAGTGACTGAGCCAGCCGCGCAAGAGGGCTGCTCAGCCAGGGAAAAAACGCAACCACACCAAGCAGTTGGGAACAGCTGGAGGTTTACACACAAGCAACCCCAATTCCCATGATAGCTACTAACCCTGGTGGTTATGGTTGTAGCTCCACTGTTTTCTGAATTATCAGTTGTTGGAAATCACAGGAGGGGAGAGTGTCGTTGTGTTCAGGTCCTGGTTACAAACTTCCCTTGGGCATCCTGCTGGCCACAGTGAGGGCAGGAGGCCAGACTAGATAGGCCTTTGGTTTAAGCAGGGCTTTTCTTATTTAACCAGAACGACTATTAAGAAACCGTATCTTTACCATCCATTCCACATACATGTAAACCACTAATTTTATTTCATCTAGTTCTAGCTAAGAAACCTGCACCTGAGCTGTAACACTTCACAGTACAGGTCAGGTATCAAATGGCTGGATGTTCTGGCATACAAAGGCATTCAGAGTACAAAAACCAGTCATTCATACATGTTCATTTTGCTTCTGGCCCTGCCCAACACTGGCATGCGGGCCCTGGAAGGTTGCCCACAAGGCTTCCAAAACCCTGCCCTAAACTGTAAGGAAGCCACGCCTATTTTCCAAGTGTGGGAAGTTAATATACAAGAAAGCAACTTATTCAAGAACCCGTTGCTGCCATAAATCAAAAACAGCCTTCAGAAATCCACATTCTTTTCGTGTCTCTGCTGCTCAGTGTTACCAGAGTTGTCTTCATCAACACGCAACTTACAATGTTCTACTAAGTAAAACCTACTGAACCACACTTCATTTGAAAGTGCAGAACCAGATTAGAATGTCCTTATGTTGCATATGAACAAGAGTGCCGCCACCCCCCCCAATACAACGTCCTTTTACAAAAGAAAAGCTAAAATAAGTCAGGAACGCTGCAGTGTTATTTTATTCTTCCCGACCAACTCCTGGTTCCGGGAGCTACGGTTTTCTTCCTTTCTTGCGGAGTGACTGGCCTTCTCCAGAAAAGGCAATGAAGCGGCTTCCAGAGTCATCCTGAAAACAGAGGGGTGGGTAATGGGAAACATTCCTTTATAAACTTTATTATTCATTATTACACATGCAAGAAGTGAAGACCTGGGCTTTTCAGGCAGCGACCTGTTCAGGCACCATGAGTAGTTCCAGTTTTGCTTTGATCCTGTGATTTCAGCTGAGCTGATTTCTGCTTATTCACTTATTTATTGAAAATGCTTAGAAATGCCAAATTACACGAGGTAAACGAGTTTTAGGGTCTGTCTTGGGTGCAGTGCAAATAACAGATGTATTGTGACTGACCAAGATCTCTTCCCCAGCTCTCTTGTCAGATTCTTTGGGTGGTGTTTTTAAGTGCTGATCTTAACCAACACTGCATGAACAGGGCTGGGTGGGGCAGAGCAGGACGGAAGAGAAAACATTCCACTACAAAGGTGGAAGGCCTTCTGCAAATGGGATGACTTCACTGGGGACAGAAAGGGTAAAGGTAAAGGAACCCCTGACAATTAAGTCCAGTCGTGAACAACTCTGGGGTTGCGGCGCTCATCTCGCTTTACAGACCAAGGGAGCCGGCGTTTGTCCACTTCCGCAGACAGTTTTCCTGGGTCATGTGGCCAGCATGACTAAGCCGCTTCTGGCGAAACCAGAGCAGCGCACGGAAATGCCGTTTACCTTCCCGCTGGAGCAGTACCTATTTATCTACTCGCACTGTGTGCTTTCAAACTTCTAGGTTGGCAGGAGCTGGGACCGAAAACAGGAGCTCACCCCGTTGCAGGAATTCGAACCACTGACCTTTTGATTGGGAAGCCCAAGCGGCACAGTGGTTTAACCCACAGCACCACCCGGGTCCCTTCACTGGGGAAAACCTCAAGTGAAAAAGCTACAGTTTTACTCACTTCTTCTACTTTCTTGACCAGCGGCCGAGAATTTCTGATGAATGTGATCTTGCCAATTTTGAAGTCATAGTTGGGAATCCCTCTGCAGAAGAGACAAATGAGGTACATGTGCTTCATATATTCGTTTCCCTTCTACCTTATGGAGCCAGCTCACAATTTACAGAAAAAAGATTAACATCCAAATCAAATCGAGAAAAAAGCATGAAGTTAAGGGTTTGCTCCTGCTTGGAAAGAAGGATTTTTTTTTTTTACTTGGGTTCTAATATTTATTAAGCTGGGGTGATGAGAGGACCCAAAACAATTCAATGAAGACTGAGCATGCTCAGAATGTTGACTGATTGTTGGGTGGGTGAAGGAGAATGGAAAAGCTGGAGGCCGGGAACAGGATGGGGTCTCCTAAAGGTAGGCATGGCAATCCATTTGACCTCTGAAATGTTTGACAACTGAATCACAGCTTCCAATTGGTTGCAAGAGCTTCCTACACTCAGTGGAAGCCGTGTTGGATGTTCAGCTTCTGAAAAACGTTCGAAAACTGGAGCATTTACTTCCAGATTTTCAATGTTCAGGAGCTGAATCGTTCGAAAATGGAGCCATTTGGGAGCCAAGGTTTGACTGTATATAGATAGATAGATAGATAGATATAGATATAGTGTGCTTCAGAAGCCAGGTCCAGCTGTCTCCTTTTGCTTGGCTTCTACTGAAAGAGTAATTATCCCCCTCACTGGTTCCTGGTGGATCAGCAATTTTAAACACATAGCTTCACAAGGCATCTTTAAGTCATAGGTTGATATCAGATGGAGTTGTTGAAACGCATTATCCTAGCATGTGCGAGACTTGCCGCTGTAAACAAATGAGCCAGCCTTTCCCTGTTTGGTGCCTTGCAGATGTTTTGGACTGCGCATCTCATCACTGCCAAACCAGCACAGCCGAGGGTGAGGGATAAATTAAAGTTTTAGTCCACAATATCTGAAGGGCACCAGGTTTGGGGAAGGTAAAGTCACCATATTATCCACAGTGAGAAGTGTTGTGACGTGGGGCTTCTTTAGCCTGCTGGACAGTGATCAGAGAGGACCTGGGTTCAAACAGGGTGACCTTGAGCTAGTTGCTCATTCTTAGCCTAACCACTAAAGACCTGCGGCTACACACCCTTCTGTCCTTCATCCAGACAAGCAAAAGGGATGAATACACACATTCTAACCAGGCAAAAACGCTCAGGAGGTGAAGCAGGGACCCATAATGGGGTGTGGCCTGGGGAAGAGTTCTAAGGGCCATATAGAGACGCTTGGGGGCCACATTTGCCTCCTGGACCTGAGATTTCCCGCTTCCGACACAGCTGCTGTTTCTTTTCTTCCTTTCCAGGCCATGTTATGACACTCCAAGCGAGAATATCCAACTCGCACAAATACTGAAGCCATGGCAATGCTGCAGACAGAGATGGAAACGGCCCAAGTCATTTTACTGTTCGACAGTGGAATTTGCTGCCAAGGAGTGTGGTGGAGTCTCCTTCTTTGGAGGTCTTTAAGCAGAGGCTTGACAACCATATGTCAGGAGTGCTCTGATGGTGTTTCCTGCTTGGCAGGGGGTTGGACTCGATGGCCCTAGTGGTCTCTTCCAACTCTATGATTCTACTTGGAGGACACACAGAATTGCGTCAAGGCAAACCAACCTTCTAATGTCTTCTGGTTTAATTGGAGAAGGATTTGGCTCGACGCCTTTCTTCTTCCCGTCCAGCCTGTTCCCAGATCCTGAAAAGGCCTGCAGGGATAAGAAAGGTACAGTCATCATCATGAAATCATCACCCTTGTAAAATGGAGCATCTCAAGTCATGGCCCGCGTAGGATGACGCCTATATCCACCTGAACAGTCCTGATCCAGTTTATCCAAGAAATACCCAGAGGCAGAAACTAAGCAGAAAAACAACAAGAAGAACTCTACTAAGGATTGTCTTTGAAAGGCTGCCTATTAGACTGCAACTGTTCTACAGTTTGGAAAGGAATTATATCTACCGTACTTTTCCATGTGTAAGACTAGTTTTTTTCCCCCACTGAAGTATTATGTTGAAAATCGGGGGTCATCTTATACATGGTTAGGGCTTAGGGGTGACGTGGGACTGGGGTGGTGTTGATTGGGTGTTGTTGTGGCAACTAGGCGGGCAATAGGCTGCTTCTGCTGGCAAGGGGACAGACATTAGGAGGCACAAGTGTTAGCGTTGCCCAGGCGGGTGAGTGATTTTCGGCAACACGCCCCCCCCAAAGCTCAACAACTGTCATGGGACTGTCAAGGAAGGCCTTTGAGTCGGGGGGGGGGGGAGACAACTGTTCAGAGCAGGAACAGCCAGAAGGAAACGGTCAGGACATGACGGAAGGGGAAGAGGGGGAGAGCCATGAGGTGGCAAGGCTCTCCGATGCTGAAGCCGAGCCTCAGCATCGCATAGGGAGCTCAGGGACAGTCAGAGAGCCTATGCCTGTGCCTTCGGCACAGGAAAGGAAAGGGTTAAAGCGCAGGGATCAGAGACGTCCCATGAAGCTACCCTGCCTCTTCTGTCAGAGGAGAAGCGGGAGAAGACCACTCCCCGAATCTGAACCGGACGATTTGGATGCATAAGTTGTACTGTGCTGCTTGTACATATGTAAAATAAAGAAGTGTAAATACCTCTCTGAGTGAGCAGAGGGTGCTTATTGCGAAGAGCATACACAAACCATCACAAGAACTCTGTGCAATCTCCCCCAATTTTCTTAATTTTTAGTCCCCAAAATAGGGGGCGTCTTATACATGGATCGTGTTATACACTGAAAAGTACAGTATATTCTGACTCTGGATTCGCAACATGCTGCAAGTCTTAGCATAAGTGAAACATTTCAGTGGGTTCACTGGAATATCTAAGCAGCTTCCTTCATATGGGGCGACGCAGAGGGTGTTGAGTCCCCATTTGTGGGATGTTTGATATCTATTTTTAATCTTTGTGTTTGTGAGTAGCTTTGAGTTCTTTTTCAAAATGTTTTTGTATGTGCTCGAAGCCGCCCAGAGTAGTTGGGGAAACCCAGTCAGATGGGCGGGGTATAAATAAAACTGTTGTTGCTGTTATTTCTTAAAAAGCAGCTAATAAATATAGTTTAATTAATCAAAGAGACTTACACGGAATCCCAGGTCACCCACGTAGCCGCTATGGTCTGCCTCCACATCCTGGAAAGCAAGCGGGGAAACAAGTTGACTTGTTTTACAATGGCTCCACAGCACTCTTTCCGCTCAATTCTGGTGCTCAGAAACAGTGGAGGTGGAATATATCCACCGACAGTGAACTGGTCTAATCCTTTTCTAAAAACTATCCAAATTGGTGGCCATCGCTGTCTCTTGTGGGAGTGAGTTCCACAGTTTAATTATGCACTTTTTGAAGAAATCCTGAATCTTCCAACAAAATGACCGCTCTGTCGACCAACTCAATCAAGAAAATGAAAAGCAAGGAGTAAATCAACTCGACAACCAGCTTTATCAATTTATTTGTCGCATTCACAGCTTCTTCTGAGTGGGGTTTTTATTTGGGGGGGGAGGAAAAAGCAAGTAAATAGAGAGAAGAATATACAAGGCCACTTACTGTGGATTCCTCGTGCTGTGTCTGTCTTTCTGGTTCTTTGTAACCCAAGGGTGCATCAAAATCCACCTGTATAATAATAATAATAATAATTTATTTATACCCCGTCCATCTGGCTGGGTATAGAGTCAATATCAATAATAATAATAATAATAATAATAATAATAATAATAATAATAATAATTTATTTATACCCCGCCCATCTGGCTGGGTATAGAGTCAATATCAAATTCACAATCAGGGTAAGAAACAAGAACAACATGCCTAAGAAATGGCTTCCTCCCTTAATCTACCAAAGTGGTTTAGCCCTTCCCCAGAAGTAGAATTAAAGCTATTATTCCTGCAGCCAGGTTTCACGGGATCCTCTGGAACCCCCCTCAAGACCATCAGTCGTACAATGGGAAGGGTTTTGATAGTTGTGCAAAATTGTAGCTCCTTCCTTTGCAAGAAGATCAAAACAGCGGAGGGGATCCGGTGGGCTTGTGGTACTTGGGAGAAAAAATGCAAAAAGCAGCCTGTGCATTCTGCATTTGCATCCTGAATTTTGCCTCTGCAATTGCATTTTGAAGTTTGAGGCCTTTAAAAGCTGCAAGGCAGGACCTGCAATCCAGCTGTGTGCATTGACGGTTTTTGCATCATTCTGCTAGAAACACCAGATGCTTTTTCACTTTTGGACAGTCAGGAGAGATAATGGGTTTACAAACTTGGTTGCTGTTTTTAAAAGTCTATAAAAAAATCAAAGTGAAACATGGACGGAGTTACTAAAAACTAAATATATTTTAATGGGAATGTGAACCCATGGGAAATGGCTGGGGGAGGGGGGGCTATACTGGAACACTGGCCCCTGACAGCTTTCCACTGGAGTAATGTGGCCCTTGACTTAAAAAAGGTTCCCAACCCCTGTTTTAAGTGGTCAGTGAGACTGAAGATGCCCATCTCTCACTTACATTCATGTCACACTCTATGATGGACACAGCTTTGTCGGGTTTCGTCTCCATCACTCGAAGCTCGTAGATCTAAAAAAAGACAGCCGATTTCATCATCAATATAATCTCTTATCAAGTTACCGGTCTTATAACTCTTTTACTTGCACACTGCCCTGCCCCATGCCAGCTCTCAAATTCAATCCAATGCCTAAAAGTCACCTAAAAATCCACTTAAAAACCAATAGACAGCCCTGGATGCATTATCAACTGCACAGATAGATACATGCACAAGTTTCTAGATTATGATGCTCAATCATTCCCTCCAGGGCTCCTCAGGTATAGCTTATTCCGCTTTAAATGGCCATGTATTACCTTTTCATTGTAGTTGATGGCTATAACATCTCCGGTGGTCAGGCAAGCGAAATTTCTGAGAGCGTTTTCCAATCTTTACAGGATGTTAAATTGAAATACAAACCATGCTGGTAGAATAAAAGGTTACATTTCACAACTGCAGGTACATCACCAGCTGCTTTTAACCCTCCCCATCTCCTTGAGGCTCCCTCTCTCCTTCAATTTTCACCTGGCAGGCTGCCATTCCACTGGGCTAGAGCAGAGGAAGAGAGGTGAAGCAGGAACACTTCACTGGGTCTGGCTCTGTCAGGCTCCTCTTCTCCCTGAACAGCTTTCTAGTCTAGCTGGTCATTATATGAACCAGTGCCTGCATTTGCTTGGTGTGGTTTTCTTCCATCTTCCCTCCTCGCTCGTTTTCCTTTTGTGCTATGCCTGTTGGCAGGGGAGACTTACTCTTTATTGATCTTATGTTAGGCGCCCTGGGAGCCTTTCTGACTGCAGAGCAGGGTAAAGATACCTGAAAATAAATAGACACCCAACTTCCATGGTGCAGAAAATCTGCTTTAGAATAACATGGCCTGTCAACTTTCTCCTACATCTTATTCTCATAAGATAAACTCTCCCCTCCTCAGTCTCCAGCTCATGGCATGTTACCAACTTTTGGAAAAGAGACACACAGATCGCTGTCACTGGCGTCCACTGCAAACTGAAGTCAGTGAGGCTACATCAGAGGAAGCTGTCTCTGAACTGGCCCTTGTTCATTTTCAGATAGCACCTGTTTTTGGAGCCCAGGGGCCACCTTCCCTCCTAAGTAACCTTCTGGAGCTGCGTGCCAATGGCAGGCAAGGCCAGAGGGAAGATAATGCAACTCTTACCTCTGTACACTCAGAGGCTCTGCCAATCATAATAATAATAATAATAATTTATTATTTATACCCCACCCATCTGGCTGGGCTTCCCCAGCCACTCTGGGCAGCTTTCAACAAAATATTAAAATACAGTAATGCATCAAACATTAAAAGCTTCCCTATACAGGGCTGCCTTCAGATGTCTTCTAAAAGTCTGGTAGTTGTTGTTCTCTTTGACATCTGGTGGGAGGGCATTCCACAGGGCGGGTGCCACTACCGAGAAGGCCCTCTGCCTGGTTCCCTGTAACTTGGCTTCTCGCAGTTAGCTCTACTGGTTAGCACATGGTGCTGATAACGCCAAGGGCCCAGGTTCAAACCCCCACATGGGTCACCCAGGCCAAAGAAGAGACAGGAAGGGGTGTGGCCTGGGGAGGAAGTGCATGCTGGGAAGAGCTCCAAGGTCCAAATGGACAGCCCTGGAGAACCACATTTGGTCCTGAGGTTCCTTACTCCCTTGTTGGAAAAAGGCAATTCGTCTTCCTTCCCTGGGGCCACAGCTCAAACCACCCTCTGCTGCTTCCCCTGAGGTTTAACGAAAAGGATACACTGCTTTGGGGTTGGTGATGTCAAGGAAATCAGGGCTCTGCGGCTGAAATTTGGAGTACGTTGCCACCTGCAAGTTGACACTCTCTACCTGCACCAGGCCCCCTTCCTCCAAGAGCAAGTTCTGCATCATCTGTCAAAAGGAAATAAAGACAGGTGCTCAAATGATGGCTTGGGAGACACTCAGAGCTTCCTGCAAAGAATCCTGTGGCCTGTATAGTGGTACCTTGGGTTACAGACGCCTCAGGTTACAGACTCTGCTAACCCAGAAATAGTACCTCGGGTTAAGAACTTTGCTTCAGGAAGAGAACAGAAATCGTGCTCCAGCGGCGCGGCAGCAGCTGGAGGATTCATTAGCTAAAGTGGTGCTGCAGGTTAAGAACAGTTTCAGGTTAAGAACAGACCTCCAGAACGAATTAAGTACTTAACCCGAGGTACCACTGTAGTTCGTTAAGGTGCTGAGAGTTGTCAGGAGACCTTAATTCCCTCTCACAGAGCTGTAATTCCCAGAGTTCCCTGGGAAGAGGGACCAACCAACTACTCTGAGAATCGTAGCTCCGTGATGGGAATGTACAGTCTATCCGCAGTTTGTATGAGACATCAGCACGAGCCTGTGCTATAGTGAAATGATTTTTAAATATTTTTTTTTTAAAATTAGAGGATAACTCATTTCATATAACCCTTGTAGAAGTTTTAAGTTGAGAAGAGAATCAAGGTGTCTACTTACCCAGTGTGGAAGGTAACAAATGCCTTCGTCGGCCACAAACTCAAGCACGCCACAGTGCGTCATCCGGTCGGAATTTTTATTTGTCAGTTTAAACAACATAGGATAGGTGATATTAAGCCGGCCTAGGGAAAAATGGGGGTGGGGGGAGAAGCACTGCATTATATCAAATAGAATTTTATTGGAAGCTCGCATAAAGAATCTTGGACTGTGAGCCTACACTTGCTTACTTGGGAGTAAGCCTCGCTGAACTCACTGCAGAGAATATTTGAGGTCACTGGAAGAGTCAAAATGGCTTCAGGATTGCTCTCCTGTACTATTTCAGATGTGGTTTATATATTTATGTATGTATTTGCCTTGTAGATTTATGAACACATGATTTATATATATGTGAGACCTTAGAATTTCTATAACAGTTGGGTATATAAGGGGGTGAGAAAATATTTTAGGCATCCTGGTCCCTAGCTGTATAGGGCTTTGCACACCAGTAGCAGCCCCTTGAACGAAGGCTAGTACCTTACTGACAGCCAGTGCAATTAATTCAGTAGCAGTGTAATGTGGTGGCAGGAAAATAGTTTTGTCTGAGCACTGCGTGACTCTGGAGCAAGAAGAAGTTGAGACAAGAGGTGACCATCACTGTGCCCTTCCACATCCTATGGGATGGAATGTCAAGAGGAAATAATTGTAGCGTTACCGTAGCAGCAATTTCACATACGTTGCCAATCCAAAATGCTTATTGGCTTCTTACTGATTTAACCAGCTACAACCTTAATATTTAACTGGTAGGTCAGGACCCACAACTGGATTGTGTCCTGAACCAAAGTGGGGCGCGATGATGACATTGCTGTCATACAAATACAAGATTAAAACAATTAAGATGAGGGTCTCTAAACCCCTGTCTCGATTAAAGGTGGGTCGGAAAACACTGAAAACACTTGCAGTGAGAGAATATACTTTACATTTTCATAAGTACGCTGAATAGAAGATACTCACTGAGTTGATCCAAAGCAGAGGGTGGCATAATTACTGCGAAAAAAGGAAATTAACAGTAAGATTAGGTATGGCATGGCAATGGAAAACAAGCACAGGAAAATCAAGGCGTGTACTTTAATACGAGAATATATTCCTTCGTTGAATTCCCGCTCACAGACATTAACACAAAGAGAAGTTTATCCAATGTCCTATGTCATAACACCTAGATTTCCTTCTCCTGATTCAGAGCAGGGGGTGTGAAAACCAAGAGAGTAAGTATCCTATATACTACACATTTCAGTGGGGAGGGAGACTCAACACGAGGCTACCACAGGGATGGGGAACCCCAGGCCTGTGGCCCAAATGTGACCCTCTAGGTCAGGTGTGGGAAACCTGTGGCCCTCCAGACGTTGATGAACTAAATCTCCCTTCATCTTTGCTGAGCTTGCTGGTACTTGCAGTTCATCAACATCTAGAGAGTCACAGGTTCCCCACCTCAGTGCTAGGCCTCTCAACCTGGCCCTTAGGTTGAGCCCTTAGCCCTCTCCCCAGGCTACCCCTCTTACTGGATGGAATGGGTCCTTGACCACAGAAAATACCGTATTTTTCGTCCCATAGGACGCTCCGTCCCATAGGACGCACCTAGTTTTTTTGGGGGGAAATAAAGGCAATCCCCCCCCTTTATTTCGCCCCCCAAAGCAGGTCGGGGAAACCGAACCAGGTCGAGGAACAGTGGGATGGTGGCGTTGCGCCTCCTTGTGGGGCTGGCCAATGTCTGCCCGGCGCGAGGGGCGCTCTGCTTCAGGGCGCCCTGCCCGCCGGGCGGCAGGCTGCTATCCGCAGCCTAGACATCCCTGCGGGACCTCCCGCAGGGCTGCCTAGGCTGCGGATGAGTTCCCGAAGCGCCGGGCGCTCTGCGGATGTCTTCCTGAAGCCTGGAGAGCGAGAGGGGTCGGTGCGCACCGACCCCTCTCACTCTCCAAGCTTCAGCGAAAGCCTGCATTCGCCCCATAGGACGCACCCAGATTTCCCCTTCATTTTTGGAGGGGAAAAAGTGCGTCCTATAGGGCGAAAAATACGGTACCTCTTGCTTATCTGGAAAGATAACAGAGAGGGTCATCATGTGCATGTGTGTAGAAACTATCCTACCATACAAAGGCAAAATGTTACATTCATTGTTCCATCCATTTGTGCCTCTGGCCTCACCCAGAACTGGCATGTGAGCCCTGGAAGGTGGTCCAGAAGGGAATGTGGCCTTAAAGGTAAAGGGACCCCTGACCATTAGGTCCAGTCGCGGACAACTCTACAGCGCTCATCTCGCTTTATTGGCCAAGGGAGCCGGCGTGCAGCTTCCGGGTCATGTGGCCAGCAGGACTAAGCCGCTTCTGGCGAACCAGAGCAGCGCACGGAAACGCCGTTTACCTTCCCGCTGGAGCGGTACCTATTTATCTACTTGCACTGCATGCTTTCGAACTGCTAGGTGAGCAGGAGCAGGGACCGAGCAACGGGAACTCACCCCGTCGTGGGGATCCGAACCACCGACCTTCTGACCGGCAAGCCCTAGGCTCTGTGGTTTAACCACAGCACCACCTGCGTCCCTAATGTGGCCCTTAGACTTCCATAATCCAGATAATGCTCCTGAATCCCATTTTCTGGAAACGGCAGTAGGGGAGAGTGCTCCTGTGCTTGGGTCCTGCTTGAAGGCTTCCCACAGGCGTGTGGTTGGTCACTATGAGAACAGGATGCTAGACTAGATTGGCCTGATCCAGTAGGCTCCTCTTATGCTCTCTATTTGGGGGAGCTTAGCCAGCACGTGTTGCTTAATGCTCTTTCAAGTACCACCCCCTGCAAAACACAAAACCATCTAGCCCTCAAGAGACTATTCAAAAAGAAAAATGTGCACATACTCTTCCCGCCTTTCTCCACATCTGACCTGTCATTAGGTCCAGCAAGCATGGACACCGAGAAACAGCGGTACTGAGTCGAGAAGCGGTTCTGGAACACTCTGGGGATTGGGTGATCGAACATATTGAAAGAAAACTGGGGAGGAAAAACAAGAGAATGCATTAGAAGAGGCAAGTTATATATAGTCATACCTCGGCTTACAGACGCTTCAGGTTGCGTTTTTTCGGGTTACGGACCTGCTGAAACCCAGAAGTACTGGAACAGGTTACTGCCGAGTTTCGGGGGTCGTGCATGCGCAGAAGTGCCAAACTGCAACCCGCGCATGCGCAGACACGCCGCTGCAGGTTGTGAACGCTGCGGGTTGCGAACGTGCACCCCGCACGGATCACGTTCGCAACCTGAGCTTCCACTGTATAATATGCTGCCATACTGAATCAGACAATTCGTCTATCTAGCTTAGTACTGTCAACTTCTGTGTTCTTCAACCTTGGGTCTCCTGGTGTTCTTGGACTACAACATCCATCATCACTGGCAGTCCCAAATAGAGCAGATTACAATGATCCAATCTGGAAGTTTCCAGAGCATGGGAGCACATACTCACTGATGAGACAAGTAGGCCTCAAAGCAATATGCCCAGTTGTTCCAACCTTTTGTACACGAGAACCAAGACCTTGAATTGAGCTCTGTTGCTCACGTGGAGCCAGCACAGTGCTTTAAGGATCAACCACATACAATTCTATCTTGCTGTCCCACTTGACAGCAGTATCCTGTACCAGTGGCAGCCTCGAGACCATCTTCAAGGGCAGCCCCACACAGAACGCATTGCAGTAGTCTCCAACAGTGAGGTTCTTAGAGCATGGCTGACTGAATCTGGGCTTTCCCAGGCCAGGAATGGTATACTGTGCTTTAAAGTTGTTGTCTTTATTATTTCACTTCGCAGAATTTCTGATAAGCGGCAGCTGTATAAATGTAAATAAATACATAAACAACAGCCCACAAAAGCTGCTCTCGTGGTAAGACTGCAATCTGCATATAATTTACCCTGAGCCCAGGAAACCAGTCTGGCGACTGACTGGTTAAGATTCCTACTTGACCTGGGGGCAATTTTTAGTCAAAACTCTCTTTTTCCATTTCGTTTTTAATGGGGTTTTTGTTTTTCCCAGCCTTCTCTGGATCTTGCCTGCTTGAATCTACAGCAAACTGCTGTTACGGTGCTGTATACCAGTGTTTCCCAACCGGTGTTCCGTGGCACACTAGTGTGCCGCGAGACGTTGCCTGGTGTGCCGCGAGATGTTGCCTGGAGGCGGGCGAGTCGGGCGGCGAGAGGCGGGGCGGCGGCGGCGAGGAGAGGCCGCCCAGCGCGGGGCTCTCGCCGTCTGCCTGCCTGGCTGCCTGCGAGCTCGGCGGGCAGCGCCTCCGTCCGCAGCGCCCGCCTCGCGGCTCTCATTCCCTGCCCCTGCCAAAGCTCACCCAGCCAAGCCGCGCTCTCCTTCCTGCCTCGCTTTGCTGCCTCCTCCCCCCCCCAAAGCTTGGAGGTTCCCCGGCGCCGACCCGCAGGTTTGACCCCCTTCTCACACCTGTTCGCGCTCCTTGCACGGAATGGGGCGGATGGGGAGGAACGGGGCTCGCCGCTGCCTCCGCTCGTCCTCCCCCCTCCGCCGGCGGTCCCGCGATTCTTGGCTTTTTTGGCGGTTGGCACAGAAGGAAGGCAAGGGGGAGGGGAAAAAATTGAAACTTACACTTTCGTGCGTCCCTCCCGGCGTGACGCTGCGCGCTGACGTCACGGGGCTGTAATGGTGGAGTGCCTCGAGATTTTTTTCATGAAACAAGTGTGCCTTTGCCCAAAAAAGGTTGGGAAACACTGCTGTATACACACAAAAGTAAAATGGGGACTGTGCTGCCGCAAATCTAAACCTTTAAGTGGGTTGGGCATGACTTGTTCCATTTAAACATACTGCTGAGGTGTGCACTTCAGCTTTCGCTCATTGTGGTTTTCACCCGTGTTGTCGCTTTACTCTTACTTTGCAAGGCACACGTACATAGAAACCCTATTTGCAGTCGCCATTGGCTGTAGCAATAAAATAAAATACAATATACCGAGGACAGAGGGAAATGCTTAGCTATACCAAATACGATCTGGAGGCTCAATTGTTGCTTTATTTTTACTGTGCAAGGCATAAGCGCATAGAAACCCTATTTACATTTGCCACTGGCCGTAGCAATAAAATAAAATACAATATATTGAGGACAGAGGGAAATGCTTAGCTATACCAAATACGTTCTAGAGGCTCACGTGGACATGAATGACAGAACTTGACACATCATTCTTCATCCGCAGGTAAGACGGCTGAGCCGATAGGCTTCCTTTTGATTTTTGTTTTAATCATAAACAACAACAACAACTGAGCAATGTCAGAAAGTCAATCAAACAACAGATCTTATTCTTAGTGCCCCTGCTAAAAGATTTGCAAGGTTTTTTGGGGCTGTATATTATTACCTGAGTGGAAAAATGTGAATCGTCATCGCCCCCACCCCATCATCCTAATAACTTTTCTTCGAGCTACCACAGAACTACAATGGGGTGTGTGGGTGTGTGGGCTCAGTTTCGTTTTGATTTTGTTCAAACTGCTGTTATTTTTTACCTATGTCACTTTAAAGTGTGATATGAACGCTGTATACTTAGCTTTAGATTTTGATTCAGGTGGAAACTTTCCCATTTTGCTGTGTATTTTTTGATGTGGCTAAATAAGTCTTCTGGGAAAACAACTTTGTCAGTGGCTAAATTCCTTTTCCTGGCACTCAAGTGTCGGAAACGTATAACTGAATGCTTTGATGTGGGTTATCTGTGAGAGGTCTAGTACTGTGGCCCTACCTTTTTATGTACCCCTATGATGTTTTAGTTTATAATTCTGTATTGTGTAACGTTTATTTCTGACCATCGGTCGAATAAAGGAAATTGTTGTTGTTGATGTGGCTTATTTATGACTTTTGTAATGATGTAAATCTTGTTACGCTGTAAGCCGCCTTGAGCATTGTTTTTTAACTGTGCAAAGGCGGTATACAAATAATAAATGATGATGATGATGATATGTGTGTGTGTGTGTGTGTGTGTGTGTGCTTTTGCAATTCCTTACAGCCAGGATGACTCTGCATTTCCCACCACCAACATCCAATATTGGTCCCCCCCCCCAATCCAAAGAAAGACCCCCCCAAAGGGCCCCCTACCATGATGGTGGCGTCTTCTCCTCCTCCTCCTCGTCCCCTTCGCTACTGACAGGCCTCCCGCAGAGGTCTCCTCAGGTGCCGGGGAGCTCCAACCAACTTGCCTCTCTCGAGGCCGACAGGAAGCCTCGTGAGGCGCCGAGGGAAACGGAGCGAAGGGCGGTCGGGATAGGGCGGAATCCCTTGGCTAAGGGGGGAAGCGGGTGGGGACTTCTTCCCCGGGGGGTGGAAATCAGCGACCTTTACTCAAAAGTATTCGACACCCGATAAGCCGGCATTTCCGTGTGTTGAAAACCTCAACCGGATCGCGCCCCTCACGTTCGTTCGGGCATTAACAACAACCGCGACAAAAACCACATTTCCCAGAATGCCATTCGAAGGCTCGGTCCTCCTAAGGTTTTGTTCCGGGTGAAGTTCAAATGAAGGGGGGCGGGGAAGGCTCTCGTGTTTTCTCCTTCTTTTTAACGTCTCGTTTTTAATTTCAACTCTTTTTTAAAATCACAGTGTTGTGGGCTCAGTTTGGGGTTTTGTGAGGCGCTTTTTTGGTGTATTTATCAGCCCACAGTGTAGGAGGACATTAAAGGGGATGGCAATGCCCGAATCAAACATGGCGACCACGGCGTTGCTTGGCCCTACAATGGAAAACTCCGGCTCCCTCCTTCGGGGTTTTTTCCCTCCCCTTCTAAAACGAACAAAATGGTGGATGGGCACGCCCTCTCTTGTGACCAAAGAGTTGTTAGGTGCGACACGGAAGTGTTCTTCACAATCCTCTCTTCCGGTTCTCATTAGACCACTTGCGGGGCAAGTTTGGCAGAAAGCGGCTATGCCTCCCTTTTTGAGCTTTAAGCAGCACCCTGGGGAAAAACCTTGTTGTCGGTGTAATCCTATATTTTATACATTTTATACACAGCAACCAACGTAAGCATGTAAATAAGATTAGCAGGGTTCACCCCGCAAGCGCAGCCCCAGAGAATAGTGATTACCTTGACCCAACCTTTTTTAAAAATACAGGAATGATTATTTCAAGCCCTGGTAGGAAAGGGAGCCTCTAACCCACGCCTATGCAATTTTACATCCATTCCCTGCAATATTTCCGCCACTCTTTCTCGCAAATGGAGGCTGCCACTACCAACATGCAACCGGGAACCGGACGTCGCGTCCTACTGAACAAGACTGCACCTCCTTTCCCCTTGCCGCCCAATCTTACTGTGCAAAAAGGCCTCTGCCGGTCCACCTCAGAACTGCCCGTTTGGGGTGATGGGCGGAGGAGGGCGGAGCACGCGTCCAATCAAAGCGCCAGAGAGGCCGCACGGTGGGCGGGTCGGGGAGCCTATTGGGCGAGATTCGGAGCGCGTCGACCAATGGGCGAAGCCAAAGGGATTTGGCGCCTTCCTTTGAGCGGAGGGAGCCCGAATCGCCGCCTCAGTTCGCCTTCGCCGCCGTTGCCGCCGCCGCCGCCGGGATCCTGTCAGGGGGTTGAAAGCCCGGCCTTCCCGGCCATGTTCCTGACGGACTTTCGCAGAGATTTCTATGAGGTGGTCGTGAACCAGGTGAGCGGGGCTCCTCCTGTGTGTGTGTTAGCAGGTCCCGGCGGGGCCCTGCGAGAGCCCCGACGGAGAAGGCCTCGCTCAGCCCCGAAGCCCGTTGGGTGGCCTCGGTCGTTGTTGTTGTTATTATTACAGTGGTACCTCGGAATAAGAACTTTAAAAAAATAATAATTTTAAATTAAATTTTCCATTTTAACAATCCAATCAAATCACATTAAATATTCCAAATTATACAAATACCATATCATATAGTCCAAATATTCTGCCAAATTATAAGTTTTTATTGGGACTTCCCATGCTTCAAATTTTTTTTTGGGGGGGGGGCTCTGATCATCTCATATCTCTACTGCCTTGAGTTTCCAATTTTGTTGTTGCTGAGTCGTTTAGTCGTGTCCAACTCTTCGTGACCCCCTGGACCAGAGCACGCCAGGCACTCCTGTCTTCCACTGCCTCCCGCAGTTTGGTCAAATTTATGTTGGTCACTTCTATAACTCTTACAGTAAAAACGGATAAGTTATCTAAATGTCTTTTGGACTGGTGTATTCCCACTGCTCCAACCTCCGTGACAGGTTATTTCTGTCGGATTTCTGCCTGAAACGAAGGAAGTCTGTTAGAATCGTAAAGGTAAAGGTAAAGGGACCCCTGACCATTAGGTCCAGTCGTGACCAACTCTGGGGTTGCGGCGCTCATCTCGCTTTATTGGCTGGGGGAGCCGGCGTACAGCTTCCGGGTCATGTGGCCAGCATGACTAAGCCGCTTCTGGTGAATCAGAGCAGCGCACGGAAACGCCGTTTACCTTCCCGCCGGAGCGGTACCTATTTATCTACTTGCACTTTGACGTGCTTTCGAACTGCTAGGTTGGCAGGAGCAGGGACCGAGAAACGGGAGCTCACCCCGTCGTGGGGATTCGAACCGCCAACCTTCTAATCGGCAAGTCCTGTAGTTTAACCCACAGCGCCACCTGTGTCGTTAGAATCATAGATACATGGAATTGTAGAGTTGGAAGGGATCCCGAGGGTCATCTAGTCCAGTGTTTCCCAACCTTTTTTGGGCAAAGGCACACTTGTTTCATGAAAAAAATCTCGAGGCACTCCACCATTACAGCCCCGTGACGTCAGCGCGCAGCGTCACGCCGGGAGGGACGCACGAAAGTGTAAGTTTCAATTTTTTCCCCTCCCCCTTGCCTTCCTTCTGTGCCAACCGCCAAAAAAGCCAAGAATCGCGGGACCGCCGGCGGAGGGGGGGAGGACGAGCGGAGGCAGCGGCGAGCCCCGTTCCTCCCCATCCGCCCCATTCCGTGCAAGGAGCGCGAACAGGTGTGAGAAGGGGGTCAAACCTGCGGGTCGGCGCCGGGGAACCTCCAAGCTTTGGGGGGGGAGGAGGCAGCAAAGCGAGGCAGGAAGGAGAGCGCGGCTTGGCTGGGTGAGCTTTGGCAGGGGCAGGGAATGAGAGCCGCGAGGCGGGCGCTGCGGACGGAGGCGCTGCCCGCCGAGCTCGCAGGCAGCCAGGCAGGCAGACGGCGAGAGCCCCGCGCTGGGCGGCCTCTCCTCGCCGCCGCCGCCCCGCCTCTCGCCGCCCGACTCGCCCGCCTCCAGGCAACATCTCGCGGCACACCAGGCAACGTCTCGCGGCACACTAGTGTGCCACGGAACACCGGTTGGGAAACACTGATCTAGTCCAGTGTTTCCCAACCTTGGGCCTCCAGCTGTTTTTGGACTACAACTCCCATCATCCCTAGCTAGCAAGACCAGTGGTCAGGGATGATGGGAATTGTAGTTCAAAAACAGCTGGAGGCCCAAGGTTGGGAAACACTGATCTAGTCCATCCCCCTGCAATGCAAGAATATCAACCAGACCGTAGATGACAGATGGCCATCCAACCTCTGCCTAAAAACCTCCAGGGAAGCAGAGTTCACCATGTTCCAAGGGAGCCCATATTGTTGCCAAACAACTCTTAATGTCAGAAAGTTATTCCTGATGTTTAGTTGTTGTTGGACTCCAATGCCCACCAGCCCCAGTCAGCATAGGCAGTTGTCAGGGATGATGGGACTTGGAGGCCAACAAAGATCTGAAGGGCCAAATGTTGCCCAGCCCTGTCATAGACCATTCCCAGCTCACTTAGGCCTATCAAGCCTTGGCCTGGCAGTCTGAATAATTGTTGTTGTTTAGTCGTGTCTGACTCTTCGTGACCCCATGGACCAGAGCACGCCAGGCCCTTCTGTCTTCCACTGCCTCCCGCAGTTTGGTCAAACTCATGCTGGTAGCTTCAAGAACACTGTCCAACCATCTTGTCCTCTGTCGTCCCCTTCTCCTTGTGCCCTCCATCTTTCCCAACATCAGGTTCTTTTCCAGGGAGTCTTCTCTTCTCATGAGGTGGCCAAAGTACTGGAGCCTCAGCTTCAGGATCTGTCCTTCCAGTGAGCACTCAGGGCTGATTTCCTTCAGAATGGAGAGGTTTGATCTTCTTGCAGTCCATGGGACTCTCAAGAGTCTCCTCCAGCACCATAATTCAAAAGCATCCATTCTCCGGCGATCAGCCTTCTTTATGGTCCAGCTGTCACTTCCATACATCACTACTGGGAAAACCATAGCTTTAACTATACAGACCTTTGTATAATTATACGGACCTTTGTATAATTATAACATTTTGTTCTTGTTATTATTATTATTATTACCCCGCACATCTTCCTAGGTTGCCCCAGCCACTCCGGGTAGCTTCCAACATATGTTAAAACATAATAAAACCATTGAACACTTTAAAAAACCTTCCCTAAACAGGGTTGCCTTCAGATGTCTTCTAAAGGTTGTATAGTTACTTATCACCTTGGCTCAAGGGTTGCATAACTGCATACCCTCCAACATTTCTCCACTGAAAATAGGGACGTCCTAAGGAACAACAGGGCATTCCGGGATTTAATGAGAAACTGGGGTGGCTTTTGTAAATCCGGACTGTACCTGAAAAATAGGGACACTTGGAGGGCCTGTATTACTAATTGCATATTTAGGTCACCTTTCCGCCCAGGGAGCTCAAGGTGGCCCATGTGGTTCCTGCCACACTCCCCATTTCAACCTGACAACAGCCCTCTGAGGTGAGTTAGGCCCAGTGAGCTTTGTGGCTAAGCTGGGGATTTGAACCCTGGCCTCTTCCCCGTCCTGGCCTAGCACTGTGCTGAGGTGGTGCTTGTTTTTCAGGCTGGCTGACCGGGTAGGGGTTATTTATTTGTACAGAGCTAATCCCTCAGTAAACCGGCCCTGCCATGAGGCAGAGTGAGGCTGCTGCCTCAGGCAACGAATTCTGAGGGGTATAAAGTGGCTAGAAAGGTGTGCTATGTGGTCAGCCTTGCAGCCCCTGAGCTAACTTGCTGCCCTAGCATGGCCAGCAGTGTTAGAAATCAGTTATATAATCTAATCATCAAATGGCACTTTAAAGTTAGGTTATGGTTGCCACAATGGAACGTCTAGGTGCCGGGGTTTTTTTGTTTTTGTCTTGCTTTTTTGCAATTGAACTTATTATTATTAATTTAATTTCTATGCCATTTGTATGTTAAAGAACCTATCTCAAAGCCGTTTAAAACACATTAAAACATCAAATAAAATGATCCAGAATAAAACAAATTCAAGCTTCAAGGAAAATATTTCAGATCTTTCTCTAAGTAACATTTTGCTTATCCTAGTTGCCAACCGGGCATCCAGAGATCTCCACATGGTTGCAGCTGGAGTCACAAAATGCACATGGCTGTTTTCTAACACTGGCTGGCAGACCATTAAGGCTACCCGCTTGGGCAGCATGCTCCTTACACCCCACCAGGG